AGGGATGCGTATTGTATTCACTATTATACAGTATATATAAATTACTGGAGGGTCAGAAGGGATGCGTATTATATTCACTATTATACAGTATATATAAATTACTGGAGAGTCAGGAGGGATGCGCATTGTATTCACTATTATACAGTATATATAAATTACTGGAGGGTCAGAAGCGATGTGCACTATATTCACTATTATACAGTATATATAAATTACTGGAGGGTCAGAAGGGATGCGTATTGTATTCACTATTATACAGTATATATAAATTACTGGAGGGTCAGAAGGGATGCGTATTATATTCACTATTATACAGTATATATAAATTACTGGAGAGTCAGGAGGGATGCGCATTGTATTCACTATTATACAGTATATATAAATTACTGGAGGGTCAGAAGCGATGTGCACTATATTCACTATTATACAGTATATATAAATTACTGGAGGGTCAGAAGGGATGCGTATTGTATTCACTATTATACAGTATATATAAATTACTGGAGGGTCAGAAGGGATGCGCACTATATTCACTATTATACAGTATATATAAATTACTGGAGGGTCAGAAGGGATGCGTATTATATTCACTATTATACAGTATATATAAATTACTGGAGGGTCAGAAGGGATGCGTATTATATTGACAATTATACAGTATATATAAATTACTGGAGGGTCAGAAGGGATGCGCACTATATTCACTATTATACAGTATATATAAATTACTGGAGGGTCAGAAGGGATGCGTATTATATTGACAATTATACAGTATTGGAGGGTCAGAAGGGATGCGCACTGTATTCACTATTATACAGTATATATAAATTACTGGAGGGTCAGAAGGGATGCGCATTATATTCACAATTATACAGTATATATAAATTACTGGAGAGTCAGAAGGGATGCGCACTATATTCACTATTATACAGTATATATAAATTACTGGAGGGTCAGAAGGGATGCGTATTGTATTCACAATTATACAGTATATATAAATTACTGGAGGGTCAGAAGGGATGCGTATTGTATTCACTATTATACAGTATATATAAATTACTGGAGAGTCAGAAGGGATGCGCATTATATTCACAATTATACAGTATATATAAATTACTGGAGAGTCAGAAGGGATGCGCACTATATTCACTATTATACAGTATATATAAATTACTGGAGGGTCAGAAGGGATGCGCATTGTATTCACAATTATACAGTATATATAAATTACTGGAGGGTCAGAAGGGATGCGTATTGTATTCACTATTATACAGTATATATAAATTACTGGAGGGTCAGAAGGGATGCGTATTATATTCACAATTATACAGTATATGTGAATTTTAATATCATTGTTCTTATCAACATCAAATATTGATCTATTCAAAAACATACAAGTCAGTCTGGTATGATGCTATTTTAATTCAAAACAACAATAACAAGATTTCAGGTCCCTGTTTCACAAAAGATCTAAGATAATAATTTATCGCAGGTATGGAATTTAACATTCAGAAATAACATACAACAAAACTGATCCTGAATTTTTTGTGAAAAGAAACCCTTATCTTTTAACATTCATTCATTAATACATTTTATTCATTCTTACAATAACAATCATCTTTCCTCAACAAAGGAGAAGCTGGTAGAAAACAATTCTACCATACATATATTTACATAATATCAATTCCAATTCTTATATATCCAACTTTTATATCTACTAAATAGGATTAATATAGCATAGCCCAAGATACGAAATACACCTGATAGGGCACATGAAGACATAACCGAGCAAACAGACGCATGTAATACAAGGTTTTTCAATCCCTTCAAGGTATGAAAGCAAAAAATTAAATGCCAAATTCCTTTGACCCATATTGCATAGATTCTCTAGAACCTTAAATATCAATACCAGTGTAGGAGAAGCCAAACTCAGTCTAATTAAAGTTAGACCAAACTTTCGTTCCCTTTTTTTTAAACTTCTTTAGCCACTTCAATTAGGGTCTTAAGGGCCTCTTGAACATACTTCTGCCCTCTTCAACAATGGGATTTGTGAGGCGAACAAAAACGGAAGCATTAGAAACAGAATGACAGTTTGGTCTTATTGTAATGAGACTGAGCTAAACTAAATACACTTTATAAAAGAGTGAGACTACTAAATTTTAATCTAATTTGCCATTTTGTCCCGACATTGACTGACATGACCCTAACTGCATAATGCAAAACAGAGCTCCACCAAGACTAATGTTCACAGGCTCCGAAATAACATTCCTCTCCAACAAAGTACAACAAAAAAGCTCAGATTTGGTTCAATAATTCTAAATATTCCAAGAGGTTAATTGGCATCAACCTTCAACAAATTTGAGAGCCTTTAAGTCATCCTTCAATTTTTAATATATACTCTTTTGAGCTCTAGTCCATAAGCTTTATTAAATTTGAGAGCTGGATCCAAGCATGACAAATTATTCTCAATCTTCCAGAGCACATTATGTCAGTTTGCCACTGGGTGCATCAATTCAACATTACTTTCAGAGAGTCCGCAAAGTTAAAATCGTGTTTTTACCAGTAATTTATCACCAGTACCCATCCACCATTTAAGTTCCTTACAGAATTAAGAAATGATTAAAAGTTCCTTTCCTCAAGCCTGCGTAAAATTAGAACAACGAAAATATATTTGGCGCATCAGTGTATATAAAAATATAACGTTCTTAGTCTAGATCTAAATTATCGGCAGACTTTGTTTCTGTTGACCCCGACGACGAGAAGCGCTGTAATCGCCTTTTTCTTATTTCATTCATTTCTTCCTCTTCTTCTGTTCTTGGATTGTGCCATTCTGGAATTTTTTCAGCATTTGGAGAGAATCCTGCAGCACCCAGATCTGAAGGATCTGTAATGAGAATGTACATGTCAAAAGTTACCGGTCAAAAAGGGCAAATTTAACTTTCCCATACTAAACGTGAAATTTATACTTGCTGACCTTAGTGCCTCTGTCTATAGGCTAATGGGCAACTCCATTTTGGCAAGACCTGTTTGGGTTTTTATTAAACTGCGCAAATATACAGTTAGTGATTTTAGTAAATTGAGTAGCTTGTGCCTTATATTGATGAATTCTTCTAAAGTTGTTGACACCCACCTGCTTGACGTGCTAGATCTGGACTAGATGATTTAGCTTTTGGTAGAGTAGTTTTAGGGCGAGCCCCACCAGAGGGGCTGGTAGGGACAGGCTGTAAGACGGATGTCTGGTGTAAATCTGATGTACTACTACTAGTGGTAGTAGAAGCTGTATTTTGAGTGCTAGTGGTACTACCAGTAGCTGTAGCTCTGGTTCTATTCCCTGGTAAATGTATACCTTGCATACTGAATAAAAACAGAATTTGTTTATTACTTTGAAATTTATCCTCACAGAAACTCAATTGGAGTTCAAATATCAAAATAGCAAATAAAATGGAGTTGTATGTCCTATTTTTTTCGCGCCTGTTTGGGCTAATGCGAACGAGAAACGCCATACAGGGGAAAATGGAAAACTTTGCCAGGACAGTGGCAATGCCCTAATCTTATCTGATTTCAAACAGTCGAGAGATCTTTAAGCCAAACAGCCTGTAGGACACAGAGTTTTAGTTTATTGTCCCATCCAAGTGATAGGACGCTTTTTCTATGGTCAACCCCTCCTCCTTGCGTTACAAGGGTTCAATTACCAAGATGGTGTTTATTGTTTATCAAATATCAAACTTACCTCATCTGTGACGCAACTGTATTATACTGATTAATCAACAGCATAGCACCATCTAGTAGGGACTGGATATCACGTAACCAATGGATACGAGCTTCTATATTCTGTCTTTCCTCCCCTTCCATATTTAACAAGTCTTCTCGTGATAACCCAGACATACTGCTGGGTGGTTGAGGGTAAACTGGAATTTGATTGAGTAAAAATTAATTGATGAGAACATAGATGTAGGAGCCAAAACATTTTTGGGATGGGTCAGGAATTGTAAGTCGATTATAACTTAAAGGGATACTACGTCTTAGAATGAACATAAAATTTACAAATTTTAAACTTGGACAATAAGAGCATATATTCATCAGTAGATATACCTGGTGTCATAAATAACATAACAGGATCCTTATATAATCAGATAAATCCCCAAAAAAACTAGTAATTATAGTAATTATCCATAAATATGCAATTAACTATTGAATAACACTTAATATTAAGATTTCGCATTTTTCAATAATTACTAAGTTTTATGAATTTTCCAATTTTCCAGGGATTCTGTTGTAACTTTATGACACCAGGTAAGTTCACTGATGAATATATACTCATATTGACCATTCTAGGAAACTTGAATTCTAAGATGTTCATTCTAAGATGTAGTATCACTTTAAGACAATCTTGGGAGTAAATTGCTCCTGTGATCATGGCTTTCTGGCAAGTCTGAAAGAAAGTCATCATAAGGAACATTGTCCAATAGTGAGCTGTTGATCATAAATATTTGTTGTGACCTAGCCAAAGGTCATCAATTACAATTCAATTCAAATTACATGCTCACATCAAAGTGGTAGCGGATCTTCAGGACACTGCTATACGACCCACAGGCAAGTGCGCACTGACTGATATTCTGGATCCATAAAAGTCCATGTGCCGTCAAAAAATTGGTAAGTGTGGACCAGCTCTTTTGCTAACATTAAAGCATACACAACTGAAAACAGTCTGGAATTACTCACCAAATGGCATAAATGAATTTGGGGGCATCATGGGAGGAATAAATGGTGGGGGTGCTCCCATGGTGCCGGGAGAAGACAATGGTGTGGTGGTAGATGGAGTTGTTGTAGTTGATGCTGATGATGTGCTGCCAGATGGTGGTGCTGCTCCCGCTGCTGTAAAAGAAATTTTCAATTTAATCATCTTCACAATATCTTATACCTTGACTACAATAGCCACCTTTGTTATACCACGGAAGATTGTAAAGGAAGTGATTGGATTATATGTTAGCATATATAAATAAATGCTGAATGCCAAGAGGCTTGGCTAAGGACAAGTGGTAGACAGAATCCTTGAGAATCAAAGTTGTTATCAACTATCGAAAGGTTCGGATAAAATCAATGCCAAGAATTTTGACAAGGACTAGTTAAAAGAAATCCTCAACATATAGGGTAGTTATTCTTGTAAAAAAATGATTCTTTTGTTTCTTTCACTGATGAAATAATAAATAAAATTCCTACCTGCTGGAGCTTGTTGATGCTGTGGAAGCCAACCATATTGAAACTGTTGAAAAGCTTGAGGAAAGGGGGGTGGTTGTTGAGGCTGGGCAGGAGGAGCAGGTGGGGTAGGAGCTGGGCGTGGTAGTCTCAAGACATCCATACGACATGTCGGACATGTTTGTTGACGTTGAAACCAGGTACGTAGACAGGAAGTATGAAAGATGTGGTTACAAGGTAGTTTTTTACAGTTGGTATCCATTTCTTCACGACAAATTATACAAACATTATCACTACTAGCTAGATCTTCAGCTGTGGCATCAGGATATCTGGAAAAAGTTTCAAATATTTTTGAACATAAAAAACAATATATACAAATTCTAATCAGTTCAGCCTTGGAACCCTTTCAGCTCTTACTATATACCCGAGTGACTGGTGAAGCAACTGTTAGCAAGGTGCGTTAATCTCATTAACCGTTTTAGTTGGGAAATAGAAATGGTGCAAAAAGAAGCTGTATGTGTATCCGATACACATAAAATGACTAAAAAAACTGTGTACAATCTCTTAAAGGATTTAAGAAATTTGTAAATGACAGTTCTCCTGTACTTACAATGTGTTCATATTTCTAATAGCTCTTCTAGACATAATAACATCATGTAACGCCTTCTTAAACGATCTGAAATATTCCAATAACAAATTGTTAACAATACAAAGAAAGAACGAAAAACAACCATTTTGTGCAAGGATAACTTAGGTTCACAAGTATCCTATCTGTTCCTTGGCCAACCCTCGTGGAATTGATCTTTCAAATTATCAGAATTTCACACTCCAACCAAGAGTTAAACAAACCTCCATCACATGTAAGGCATAACCAAGCAAATGACATCAGAATCAAATTTGGCTAATAAAGATTAACAAGCCATGTGCAATGAGGGAAATTTTGCCAGGGCTGCTGTCTAAGCCCATTCCCAACTGTAGCAAACGGGCCTCGCTTTATTGTCTCATGATAACCACTAAGCCCCTCCAACTTGCAAGGTGAAACTCGGTGGAAAATTCTGAAGAGGACCTAGGCTAGAATTGAACCTGTTGTACATGGGAAAAGAAGGATAGAAAAAGTTGAAGTTACCTCATAGCTAAATACATTGGTCTAACAGCAAACAGAGGGAAAGTATGAACTTTAATCATTATAAACATAAAGAATATATATAATATCACTCTAATTAGACCTGTAACATAGCAACACACAAATATTAACACTAGTTGTAATTCAAACTAAAAATTAAGGGTGAAGTTCCAGCCAAAATAAAGGAATTATCATATGATCACATGACATCAGTGATACAGAAGCCAGTTCAAAGCATGTACTGGTACCTATTATTATCACTAACAGTGACAAGCAGCAAGATAATAACTAGCAGTACTATTGTTTTTTGATTATTGGTTACCAATCACGGCTATGTAGAAACAGAAATGGAATTAACAATAATTTGACATAATAAATATCACGCTCGCAGTAAAAAGTGTCTGGATATGATTTGAGTTTCTGGATTGTTGACAACGGACAAATTACATGCTAAAGAAAAATCGAGAAAAGTCAATATGAAATAAATCGTACCCATAAATAATTCAGTATATAATAAATAAACAGCTTTACTCTCCCAGGGGTTGATACTCTGTAGGTCTATCGAGTGGAGAATATATTTAAATAATGTCATAAATACCACTGTTAATAATATAGCATACTGAAATAGATAGAAAATAATTCATATAAAATTTAAATGCCCTGCCATTAGTTATGTTAGTCAGTTTCGAATTCCATTTTTTAAAAATTACATTTGAATATCACCTACAATTCAATTCTGATAGTCTTACAATTTATTTGCATTGATAAAAATATAAATTGTTTTTTTTTTTGGATAAAAAACATACTTTCCTCTCAGAAATTTTATCTAAAATATCTCAAATTTTGCAATAAAATTGTTCTCTTCCACTACGTTTTGAAGATAATATTCTAATTCACATAAAAGTAACGATGGATAATTTGATTTACCCAGGAATGAGTGATTAATTAAAAAGCTATCTGCAAATCTCACTTTACATTATTGCAAATCTCACTTCACATTATTGCAAATCTCACTTCACATTATTGCAAATCTCACTTCACATTATCCATGTTTCATTACTTGCCATCTATACAACTAATATGCTCTGATACAAGTTTATTAATAAAGATATCTTACCTCAAACCCGAAGACTAACTGTACAGAGGCTCCCCGTAGTAAAGTACTGTAATACGCATGATTGATGAAATATAAATCTACTACTGCAAGACTAGATAATAACGCTGAAAATATAAAGGGAAATAACTTGAAATAAATTCTGCTAATTGTCAGATCTATAAAATCATAAACAAAACATGGCCTTGTCTTCCCAAAATGCACAAACCAAAGAATTCTTGTGAATATAAGTTGTCCAAGTTTGTTTCGTTCTGTGAATAACCTTTTAATCAGATATACAATCTTTATATTATGCAATTTCATATCAGACCTGTTAACGTATGCTCAAATGATGACTTTAACAGCAAGGCTTGAATATTATACCAACTAATACTAATGGAAACTTACATAAAACTCTAGAATGGAAGATTAAAGATATAACTGGGCTTCTCTCCATCTGAAACAAACAGAACGATATATTTATAAGCATAATTAAGGTATTGATAAAATTTATAAGCATAATTAAGGTTTTGAAAATTTTCAGTTTGTTTTCAAATAGCTGTGAAAAACTTAAAGCAAGCTAATAGAAATCATTAGATATAATGAAATAAATATCCCTATATAAAGATTTTTTAGACCGATCAGCTAATACATGATCCTTCATATTATCATCTTCACAATGTGAAGTCTTCTGTGATACTAGATAAGTGCTTAATGATGTCAAGGTATTAGAAGGAGTTCATAATACCTTGACATTGTTTAGATGACATCATAGAACATCAAATATCACCAAAGCTAACTTACATAATCTACTCTATCTTCTGCTAACCAATGAAAACATTTTAAAAATAATAAAAATGTGAACATGGCCACGAATCTAGGACTAAAATCATCTCTAAATACTGTGAAGGCCAGACAAGTTTCTGTCACAGCATACCACGATTTCTCTATTAAATGCTGGAACAAAAAGTGAAACAAAATGAAAGCTTAACATCATTGGCAGTAGAAAAGCTCAGAAGATAGGGAGTTGGATTGTCTGGTTGGCAATTATGTGCTGTGGGTTCGGATCCACAAGAAAAGAGAAATTCTGATGCCCTGACCAGAAAGTCAAAAGTCAGTATGGTGTCAGCTCCAAGGTCATCTGCTAGGTGGTAACGTGCTATAGGTTTGAATTCTTCTCAAAATTAGAAAAGGTAGAGGCCAGTGCAACCTAGATTGGCTATGTATCAGCTTTCAACCTGTATCCCCATACAAATTTTTAACTTTATCAGCATATCAACCCAAAATGAGTTGTCAAATTTTATTCAATACAAACCTCTGTTTCAGCTGCTCTCAGCTGACCAAAGAATATTTTTCTCATCACTTTTCCCAACAAAACAATAAAAACAAAGGCTTGTAAATATAAGACCTGAAAAAGAAAGAGAATATTCTAGAGAGGGAATTTTGAGGAATGGGGGGGTGGGTCAAGAAGAGGGCCAAAACCACACCCATGAATAGGAGCAAGAAAGAGGAAGAAATGGTGACACACTAACATAAGTTGGCATTCATATTTTATATGTATTGACGTTTGTAAGCTGATATACTTAATTGACAAAACCCCTTCTTATGCAATCATTGCACTAGGCCTATTGAAGTATTTTTAGCCACTATACTATAATATAAAAACCCCCAATATCTTTTCAAAACATTTCATTTGGGCCTAATCTCTTATCAAAAAGGGAAACTGAAGTAGTGCCAAAGAGGTCATGATTTTTTTTGGTTACAATTTACTATGACACAGTGACACTATACTATAGTGACAGCCAGTACAGCTGACAAACAGCAATAGCAGTGAGTTATTGTGTTACAAGGAAGACTCTCTTGATCTAAAACAGTTGCCTAGAATCACCAGAATTCTTAAGCCTGATTATGCATTTAGAAAAAAATATGTGTGCTAAGACGTGTCACTTCACTAATGAATGAATGTTAAAAGAGACTGGAAAATTAGAAAACATCAACAAAAAATGAAAATACAAACCGCCATGCTAGGATTTGACTTTGTTATGTACACAACACTGGGGTAAAATTGTTTCTTTTGGTAGTATGCATTAAACAGAACCATTCCCGAGAGCAAGAAACTCGCCCCGGTTATCAGAAAGGCCTTCATGGTGCCGGAAACCAATCTTTTCTCCTCACGAACTTTCTTGTTTACGAAAGCACTTTTCCAATATGGCCTCCTTTTGTCCAGATTAACCAGACATTAAAATCACCCTTCAATTTCACAACTGGAAAACCAAGAAAAACATCTAAATTTAGAAACTCGTGGCCTATTATGATTGGATGAAGTAATGTGTTAGATTTTACTTTCATTTTATTTTAACCGGTTTATGTGTGAATTAAAAGTTGGCATTGCGACTGATTTAAAAGCAATTTCTGGTATCTTTGCTGATTTAGAAATATGGCTCTAAAAAACTTTTTCCACTCTTCCTTTTCATTTGATCGTCATACGCCTTACATTATTCAGTTATCTTTTCTTTTTATACAAGCAAGGTTGTCATAGATTTTGGCCTAGGCCTAATTTCATTAAATTCTAATTTTACAGAAACAATGTTCTGAAAAGTTCGCAAAAGAGATTATTTTCCCCCGATCAATCAATTGTTGTCTAAGTCACATAAATGAGATAGAATAGGCCTAGGTTATTTCCCTTTATTTGTGTTTGTCATAATATTATACTGAACCACAAAAACTAGCAGGCTGTATTCTTTAAACTGACAGAGTCGCAAGTTTAGGGAGTTTACATGGGTCTGGAATAAACCAGGAATTTCACTATTCTTTGCCATATGTCTATATATGACAGTTTCAAGAAAAGACGAGTCGTCATTTTAACTTCCATACTCGTCTGCTTATCGGTGGCGTTTGTAGGAAAATCTTCCAGGGGGGCCACAGGCCATTTCTTTCACTATGCAAAATGGAAAAAAAAAAATGAATTTGAGGGTGGGGCAAAGCGGGGTCAGCCTCTTTTCTTGGGAAGAGGGGGGCGGGGGCATGCAGAAACGTAGAAACTACTATCAAGCTACTTATTAATTGGTTAATCTCATACTTTTTTGCGATGCATAATTTACGTGGTAAATAGCCCCAGCCGTGTTAATACTTGTATTGCAGGACATAATGGTATTGAGATGATACTGAATTACTCATGATTTAGATCGAGGATATCAGACCCCGCCCACACAATCTTAAAGTATACTCTACCTTTTCTAGACGTAAATTTTGATTCGACCTACTTATAAATATCATTTTAATTCACTTAATAACTTTTAAAGAAAATTAAATGGAAATTCTAATAAAAAAAATCACAGACTTTTTTCTCTCAATTTAATTTTATTAATCGGGTTACATCGTAGGTTGGAAAGTACATCCGCATTCTGCTGAATTATTTCCTGCCTAGAAGGTTACATCCTTATCGCCATCCCAAAACCTCAATGTACTGAGGCCCCAGGTGCTACAGATTGAATGTTGAAGATCCCGTGACTGTTGGATATCGAAAAACTGTAGGCTTTTCCGATATCTTGGATAAATTCCCACGCTTTGTACACTGCATGGGGTTCTCGTTAACCCAATGAGGTGCAGATTTGGGACGTAAATTTCATTTGAATTTATTTTTTATCGTGACTATGTTACTGTCTCTTATTGTGACTATGTTACTGTCTCTTATTGTAACTATGTTACTGTCTATTATTGTGACTATGTTACTGTCTATTATTGTGACTATCTTACTGTATCTTATTGTAACTATGTTACTGTCTATTATTGTGACTATGTTACTGTCTCTTATTGTAACTATGTTACTGTCTCTTATCGTGACTATGTTACTGTCTCTTATTGTGACTATGTTACTGTCTATTATTGTGACTATGTTACTGTATCTTATTGTGACTATGTTACTGTCTCTTATTGCAACTATGTTACTGTCTCTTATCGTGACTATGTTACTGTCCATTATTGTGACTATGTTACTGTCTATTACTGTGACTATGTTACTGTCTATTATTGTGACTATGTTACTTTCTATTATTGTTACTATGTTACTGTCTCTTATTGTAACTATGTTACTGTCTATTATCGTGACTATGTTACTGTCTATTATTGTGACTATCTTACTGTCTCCTATTGTGACTATGTTACTGTCTATTATTGTGACTATGTTACTGTCTCTTATTGTGACTATGTTACTGTCTGTTATTGTGACTATGTAACTGTCTGTTATTGTGACTATGTTACTATCTATTATTGTAACTGTGTTACTGTCTGTTATTGTGACTATGTTACTGTCTGTTATTGTGACTATGAAACTGTCTGTTATTGTGACTATGTTACTATCTTTTATTGTGACTATGTTACTGTCTATTATTGTGACTATGTTACTGTCTATTATTGTGACTATGTTACTTTCTATTATTGTGACTATGTTACTGTCTATTATTGTGACTATGTTACTGTCTATTATTTTGACTATGTTACTGTCTCTTATTGTGACTATGTTACTGTCTGTTATTGTGACTATGTTACTGTCTGTTATTGTGACTATGTAATTGTCTGTTATTGTGACTATGTTACTATCTATTATTGTGACAATATTACTGTCTGTTATTGTGACTATGTTACTGTCCATTATTGTGACTATGTTACTGTCTCTTATTGTGACTATGTTACTGTCTCTTATTGTGACTATGTTACTGCCTCTTATTGTAACTATGTTACTATCTCTTACTGTGACTATGTTACTGTCTGTTATTGTGACTATGTTACTGTCTCTTATTGTGACTATGTTACTGTCTGTTATTGTGACTATGTTACTGTCTCTTATTGTGACTATGTTACTGTATCTTATTGTGACTATGTTACTGTATCTTATTGTGACTATGTTACTGTCTCTTATTGTAAGTATGTTACTGTCTCTTATTGTGACTATCTTACTGTATCTTATTGTAACTATGTTACTGTATCTTATTGTGACAATCTTGCTGCCTCTTATTGTAACTATGTTACTATCTCTTACTGTGACTATGTTACTGTCTCTTATTGTGACTGTTAGATGGTGATGAGAAGTCCGATAACTGACTGTCTTACTGACTTTAAAAACATTGTACCTTATTAATGTTATTATATATCACTTTCTTCCAAAGTGTCGAAAAAAACTGCCAGCAAGGGACATATTATTTAATCATAGTTATAATTAACTTACTCGCCTACCACTAGAAACTGATGAAATGATTTACCATACGTTTCTACGGGGATTGCTTGTAAAATCGCAAAACACTTCTTATTGGAGAGAAAATGGACATATGTGTATTAAAGTCACTTTAAATAAAACAAGTGATAAAACAAAATGATTTAAACTTACTTTAGTGTATTGAAGTCAAAGCGATATAACAAAATAATTTAGCGTTAATTTCGGTCTACTTATTCACAAAATCCCAAAAGGCTCGTAAACATTTCACAATAAGCCGGACGTGTGGGTAAATAAGTTAATATGATGATTACTAAACAGATCTGAAATTTACGGTAATTTCTGATGAATGACAAATTTTTTGGAAAGTCAAATTGCCAGTTGAGACTATTATGTTTATTAAAGGAATACTACGTCTTAGAGTGAACATAAAATTTTAAGAATTTCAAAATTAAGCGTTTTTCAATGATTACTTAGTTTTATGAATTTTCCAATTTTCAAGATTTTACAGTGAATTTGTTGTAACATTATGACACCAGGTAAGTTCACTGATGAATATATATAGGCCTACTCATATTAACAATTCTTGAGAACTGTTATGCTCATTCTAAGACGTAGTATCACTTTAAGTATTCAAAATATCGTCATTGTTTTGCTGGGATCATGCGCCGATTATGTTGGTATGTTGAGATATCTATGTAAATGTAAGCTACGGAAGGGTATTAGGGCCATTCATTTTTTTTTTGGAATTTTCAAGATAGTATGTTGAATTTTCAAGTTAATATGTTGAGTTTTCAAGTTAGTAACTTGAATTTTTTCAAGCTAGTATGTTGAATTTTGAAAATTCAACATACTAACTTGAAAATTCAACATACGAACTAGAAAATTCAAGTTACCAAATTCAACATACTAACTTGAAAATTCAACATACTAGCTTGAAAATTCAACACTAGCTTGAAAATTCAACATACTAACTTGAAAATTCAACATACGAACTAGAAAATTCAAGTTACTAACTTGAAAATTCAACATACTAACTTGAAAATTCAACATACGAACTAGAAAATTCAAGTTACTAAATTCAACATACTAACTTGAAAATTCAACATACTAGCTTGAAAATTCAACACTAGCTTGAAAATTCAACATACTAGCTTGAAAATTAAACAACAAAAAAATGAATGGCCCTAATACGCTTCCGCACGCTTCCGTACTAATCAGAAACACATTTACCAGCGTTGGCTTTTATTAACTGGTGGTAGCCGGTTTATATGTCCAAACTAGATAAAGTGTTTGCTTAAAGATAAATTGTAAGGCCGGGCTTAATTCTCAGTAACAGAGTACATGCACACCATAGATTCTTCAATTGCTGTATACAGTCCTGACAGAGCCTCAGTGTTACACATTTTTGTCAACTATGACACACGGTAAACCAAATGAACTCGACCAATACATTTTTGAAGCACGTTTTGGTATGATTAGATAACAATATGAAATGAAATGAAATGGGAGTTCTACGTCCTATTTTTCTGTATTAGCCCACTCTTTTTAAAATTTCCAACTGTCAAGGAATTTTTAATGGATTGGAATTATCTAGGTTATTAAACTGACACTCATGTACGAATTCAGGTTGTAGGTTTGGAAATTCGAGGATATGGACATGAAACACATATTTATTAAACTCTGGATTTTGTAACAATTCTTACGCAACACTTGACTGATCCCTCAAATTAACAAAATATATAAATAAATCATACCTTTCAATCCTCATTTCCCTTGCGAAGTAGATTTTTCTTTTTTTATGTTTTTTCTAAAACCTGTGATATATGACAGGTATAATACTTCTTTTGTAAATCATTTTGAAAAAAATAAACATTCTTTCGTGTAATGTATTTTTCCACCCTACGGCGGATATTGCAAAATGTGTATTTACCATT